GAGCGTTTCTTGAGAGATGCTTTCGTTTGTTAGGAAATAGGTATGTGATAAACAACAAAACAACAACAAGAATGCAGATGTGAGTGATCATTTTGATTGATCACTCACATCTTCGCATTCTTAAGCTTTTACTTCACAGTTCAAATAAATGATTTTTTTATATATTCACACTCATTTCAAACAACAACAGCAACAGCGGTATGAATTTTTTTGTCCTGAATTCCACAGCTGTGGGCAACAAAGAAGAACCTTGGCAAAAGGTTGGAGGACATCCCACTCCCTTCACGTGACATAAAGAACGTACTGGAGGAAATACACTTCAAAGATGAATTAACACGGTCACGATGCCGAGGGTGGCTATCGCTACCATCTACAAGATATATGCGGGCAGACATTTTGTTTCCTGGCTGCGACTTTGATTGCAGGCTAACCATCACCGGGCATAATGGTATGTTGTTGTCGAGTAAAATCAAGTGCCCCATGTTTTTTCTCTGATGTACTCGACCCTCTTTACAGTCAGTCTTCGTTATGCGACTAGTATTTGCGAGATTAAAACATCACTGCAATTTTTCTTTGTAGTTTACAGCAATTGAATCGACTCTTGAATATTCAGTCTCTGGAAATCTCTGAAAGGATCAATCTATCACAAAAATAATTTTGGCCATGCACATATTTTTACAAAAAATAAAATCCGATCTTTCTACCTTCGATAAACCAGGGAAGCTACTACGATTATATTACTGGCCTCAACACCTGTTTTTAAGCCCTTACCTAGTACCCTTTTTCAAACCTCCGCGCGAAACTGACAAGAAGTGCCCAGTTGGCTGATCAGTCTGCTGCCGCGTCGAAGAATAGCAATGGTCTATCGTATGGTATAAGGCAGCTTCAAATGAATAAAAAAATGGAGGAGTGTTGTTCAAAACACTTATCTCTGTAACACTCACAAACGTCAATGAAAGACCATACCATTGTGTCATTTTTTTTTTAACAGGCAGTGCTTTTGTAACCGACCCTTTGCTCAGTGAAGAGACAAGACGTATCTTGGTAAACTACCTCTCCGAAGTGACATTTGTAGATGAAGATGACTTTGGACTTCGCCTTCCAGAAAGGAATATGCCCGATGGATTTGAGCTATCTCATATGCGATGCTGTGAAAGATCACTCTATGGATTCATGCCGGAATTTACAATTGTGCTTTCCAAGGAAATCTCACCGGACATCAAAACGGCGACCTCCAGAGTTTCGGTATGAAATTTTAAAGGATGTTTCTCTTTGAAAGAATATCTATTTTCAGCCTGAATATCTAATAAATATTTTATAGAGATGAATACAATTCTTTTTAGGTGTGGATTGGTTTTTATGGTCATTCTTTTTCACTGTAATTGTTATAGTGTCATTACAAAGTTAAATATCTATCGCGAAAGAAAAAAGCAACTTCTCATGCCGAGAAGCTAGAGCTTTTCTTTAATTTTGTAAGACAGGTTATAACAAACGTGAATATAAATAAGCTTGACGAGACAAGAGTTGCAATTGGTAACGAAGAGAGTATTCGGGCACTATTATTTTCAAAAAAAGAATTGACGTTATTTCCTTCCACTTATATTGTTGTTGCGGTATATGGGAAAAGACGTTGCCGATAGGTCATCGTCCTTTCGTAATGCGGAAGGTTTTCTAACGTGAAGCACAGTCTCGTTCCGAATTTTCAACTAACAGTGGCACAATGCTTCGAACATTGATAAACCACCTTTAAATAGTCTTGGAGTGGATATCGCATAGCGTTTATAGCAAACCTTGCTTGAAAGCGCTATTATTTCTGCTCTCATNTTTTTCTCGCGAATTTCTTTCGCGTCACGCACGACGGACTAAGCGAAAGAGGGACTACTCGTAGTCTAACTTCGTGGAGAAGCGGTCGAATGCGAGTGAGTGATAGTCTACAGTATCTAGAGTGCCAATCATATGCATCGCATGTTTGACATCGTTTTTAAGGTTTTGTTCCATTAAGATTACAGTGATTTTGGTTAACAAGTGACACATTTTCAAGTAACCTGTGTTGTACATTTTCCAAAACTTGTGCTTGTAAAAAAACAATAAATCAGTTTCAGGTGTAGAAAACGTTGTCTATTTGCTTAATTTTAGCTTATGAGGTAAATATCTCTATGTAATCACATTAATCAGTCAAGTTTGGGCTTATTTTGTTGATTTTTCCCGTAAGCGACCACTTTGTCGTCCACCAGGAGTGGTTGCTTACGAGAGAGTTGACTGTATCTATCTCGAAAGGAAAAAGCAACTTCTCATGCCGAGAAGCTAGTGCTTTTTGATTTTGTAAGACAAGTTATAACAAACGTGAATGTAGATAAGCCTGACGAGACAAGAGTTGGCAGCGAAGACAATATTCAGGCACTGTTATATTTAAAAAAAGAACTGAAATTATTTCCTTCCAATTATTATTATTGTTGTTGCATGATATCGGAAAATACGTTGCCGATAGGCCATCGTTCTTAGGTAATACGGAAGATTTTCTAACGTAAAGCGCAGTCTCTTTCTGAATTTTCAGCTAACAGTGGCGCAAAACTTCGAGGATTGACGAACCACTTTTATGTACTCTTGGAGTGGATATCATAGAGTTTATAACAAACCTTGCTTTAAAGCCCTATTATTACTGCTGTCATTAAAATATGAGTAAAAATGTATCTTATTTTTCTTTTCTGCAGACCGCCCTCTACTTACTCTGTGACGAATGGGAGGAGTTACTCCATAAAGGCGGATGGGAACCGGAAGCCGTGGGGGAAAAACTTCCTGATTTCCTCCGATTACTGAAGAGAGTGCAAAGTTTGGTAGTTTGCGAAATGGACCAGCCCGGTCTGTCACCAACAAGTAAGCAAAATCTCTCACTTAAGAGGCTGGTAGGCTGTGTCATTAGTGTAAGGGCTGCGACTAAACTCCTCCCTAAATTAAAGCTAAGGAAATTTGAATTGCGAGTTCGATCTCTTCAACGGAACCCTTCTATGCTATCACCTCAAACAGTTTCATCTCTTGTGATCTGAGTAATAACAAAACCCGCAACCTCCAAGACCACGCCCTTCCTGCTCGGTGATGCTGCATTTGGCCAGGTTCATATATCAACTATCCTGCATACTGCTAGGATCTGATTGTCGAAAGGTGGAATATTCCCTATAAGAGTGAACTGAGATGGTAAAATGTAGCGTGGTTAATTTAAAGGTAGGTAAAGGTAAACTTTATTTAGCCAGGGTGGCCCATTCAGCGACGAGGCTGATATCCAGAGCGGCCCTGGACTAAAAATATGATAATTAAAAATACAAGACATCGTGACAATTTAAAAATACAAGATAAAATTTAAAAAATACAAGATATAAATTTAAAAATACAAGTAATAATTAAAAGTATAGAGTATAAACAAGCATGCAATAATTTATAAAAAATCTAGTTCCTATATAATTTAAAAATTGTAGGCGTCAGTTGAAACTTTGAAAGGAGAAAGTGACTCGGCGTTTTGAATGCTACGGGGTAAGAGGTTAAAAAACGCTGAGCCCGAATATCTAAAGGTTCCTTTTGCAAGGCTAAGTTT